TTATTTATTTAGTGTGTGTGTGTGTGTGGCCAGCTCAGCCCACCAGGGGGCAGGGCTGGCTGGCATGTGGTGCTGGGGGATTGAACCGCAGTCCCTGTGTTCTGCTTAGCTTAGCTTGTTCTAAGTAGGTGCCCCAGACCACCGAGCCATCTCACCAGCCCCCTCTTAACATATTTCTGAATAGGAAAAAAAATCTATTTGAATATAAAGTATTTTTAAACCCTTCTCTTCCCTTCAAAAAGCCACTTGCATATAGTCTTAGCTCCTGAATATTATATGCTTAGTTCAGAGTTTGGTAACTAAAGTAGAAGACTGGTGATTAGTATAAATTTACAATTATATTTAAAACAAATATTCAGGCCAGGGAGATAGCATGGCAGTCTAAGCGCCTGCCTGGCAAGTGCAAGGGCCTGGGTTTGATCCCTGGTACCACATGTTGTGTAGGCTATCGAAACCAGGTATGATGGTACATGCCTGTAATCCCAGCGCTAGGGAGGCTGAGACAGGAGGATCACTACGAGTCTAAGCTGTATAGCAAGACCCTGTACCAAATAAATAAAAGGTTAAAATAAATAAAATACTCCAAGCACTAAAAAATATTACAAAAATAGTCTTTCAAATGTCTGTGCTATCTCAAATCATGTTTATACCACATTCCATTACTCAAAGACACAGTAATACCGTTTTTCCTCTCTGCCTTCCTTCAACCACTTTACCATAATTAAGAAAAATATTTACAATTTTAATAATACATCTGTTATCAGCAAGTTCTTAATGATACTGTCAAATACAACTCACCTTTGGAGTGAGGTTGCTCTTGCCAAACGCTGTCTGCAGGTGAAGTTGCCCTATGATTAAATTTGTTTGAAAAGGTGCTCAATACCCACAGAAAGAACTATTTAATTTTTAAAAAGCCTAACTAATGCTTTTCCATTAAATATGATCTTCTTTGCTCTAAAATAATTACTTCACCACTGTTAATCCAAATTCTCTTGAAGATAGAAACTTCAGTTACTAAAAGTACTGTTGAAGTATACTAAACAATAAATGCTAAATGTTAAAGAGTTAAACAGATTATAAAATGGCAAGCTATTTTTATGAAACAAAACAAAAATAGGATATAAAAAAGGAGAGAAACACCCGTGTTAACAGTTGTTCTCTTTATGATTGACATGGTGATTTATTTAATTTTTTTGGCAGAACTGGGGATTGAACTCAGGCCCTTGTGCTTGCCAGGGAAGCGCATATTCCACTGAGCCATCTCCCCAGCCCCTTGACATGGTGATTTTTAAAGTATCATTTATATTTTTTCTATAAGAAAATATATATTTTAATGGAAAAAGTCAGCAGTCCATCTTCCCTCATCAGCACCAAAGCTTATGCTGTAACAGAGACTTACAAAAATTATGACTCAATGCTGTTAAGAGTCCAAGAGATTTCAAGTTAAATTTGGCTCTAAATGCTCCCATAGGGGTTGCCCTTTCCACCAATGTGTTCTTACCCAAGACAAATAGAACCGGATGGAGCCACTGTGGATGGAGCCATTGTCGGTATTTCCTGAAATTTGGATGCAATTTGCTGTTCACCTGTCTCCTTTGCACGCACCCTTTCTTCTTCCTATTATGTTAAAATAAACAAAACCCAATGTCTTTCCATCTAAAACATGCTATTTTCTCTTTTTTGGAGATAGGGTCTCACTACATAGTTCAGCCCGGCCTTGAACATTCCATGTAGTCTAGAATGGCCTTGAACTCATGGTGTTCATCCTGCTCCAGCCTCCCAAGTTCTGGGATTATAGGCGTATGCCAACGTGACCAGCACTGCTGCTATTTTTAAGCACTAGCTCCAGCATTAGCTTTACCAGTTTTCTAGATGCCCACGTGAAGCATCTGCACCACAAAAGTTCTTTCCAATAATTTATGTTTCTACTACTGTATCCTAGCACTGCTCAACTGTACTCAACTGAGCTTGGGCACATACTGAATTCTCTAGTTAATCTCATATGAATGGAACATGAATAAAAAGTTAAAATCAGAATTTACAAAATAACAACGTATCACTAAAAAGCCAATAAACTGTGTCACCTATTTCACATGTTATAAACCACCTGTTAAATTTTTTTCCTGCTCAACTTTGCTGCTAACAACTAATAAACTCCCTGAAAACTGGACAGGGGTTGGGAGGATTTTAGCTTCTGTACTGTCTACATTTATTTCAAGTTAGGCACGTAGCTCTGTGGTGGAGCACTACCCAGCACACCTGAAATTCTGGATCTCATCTCCTAAACCACAAATGATTTATTTTTTTATTTTCATGTATTTGGTACAGGGTCTCACTATGCAACTCAGACTCATAGTGATCCTCCTGTTTTCAGTCTCTCCAGCACTGGGGTTACAGGCAGGCGCCACCATACTCAGTCGGCTAGCTGGCTCAGTGAGGCCTAGGGGTGGCATGTGGGACTGAGGATCAAACCTTTACAATTTTTTTTTTTTTAAAAAGTATTTAGTACAGGATTTATAGGTTCTCACTACACAGATCAGACCTGTAGTGATCCTTCCCGTTTTTCAGCCTCCCAAGTGCTGGTATTACAGTCACGAGCCGCCACCATGCCCAGTATCAATCAGTCTCAGCTTGCCCCAGGGGGCGGGGCCGGCATGGCAGGCCTGGGATCAAACCCCTAGCCCCTGTGTCTGCCTAAGCAGGTACTTTAATCCACTGAGCTATCTGGCTGGCCCATTCACAAATTTTGTAAAATTGGCTAAATTTATTTTAATGAGCATTTGTTTTTGTGTATTAAAAAAAGGAAAAATTACCTGATCACCTTCTTTTTCTTCTTGAGTATTCTGGATTTCTTTTAGTTTTTTCTCCATCTCTTCAATCTGCTTCTTCATTTCTGCTATCTTCTGTTCACTGCTCAATAGCTCAGCTAGAAACAAGGAAGGTGACACAGATCTTACTCCCAACAGCAACTTATTCTATCAAAAAACTACTGTTGGGACTCTTATTCTCAACACATGTGAATACAGATGAAAATTATATAAAGAAAGTCCTTAATTTGAGATCTATGTTTCTTTACCTAGTTAAAAAAAAAGAAAGAAGGAACGAACACCTATTGGGCCAGCCAAATAGCAGATTGAAGCACCTGCAAACAGGTGCAGGGGCTAGGGGTTTGATCCCTGGGCCTGCCACCAGCCCCATCCTGGGGCACACTGAGACAGCAATTGAGACTGGGTGTGGTGGCGCATGCCTGTAATCCCAGCTCTTGGGAGGTTGTAAACAGGCGGATCACTATGAGTCCGATCTAGTAGTGAGACCCTGAACACCCCGTAGACCCTTCCCTAAAGTACAAAAAAAAAAAAAAAAAAAAAAAAAAAAACCTATTATGTGCCAAATACAACTTGAAAACTTATGCTTCAGGGGTATGTAAGTGTTTAGTCCTGTGATACAAACATTCAAACTTGGGGAAAAGAACACTAATTTGCAAATTAATAAGAAAATCAGTATTGCCAGGTGTTGTGGCACATGTCTGTAATCTCAGCATTTAGGGAGCTAAAGCAGGAGGACCACAAATTTGGGGATAGCCTGGATGAAATATAAGACTGTCTTAAACTAAATAGAATACAAGAAAATATTTATTTATTCATTTATTTATATTTTGGCAGAACCGGGGATTGAACTCAAGCCCTTGCGCTTGCCAGGCAAGCACTTATGCTACTGAGTCATCTCCCTGGCCCCAGAAAACCATTATTTAAAGAGCCAGCCCAAAAAAGGTGATGTAAGAATATGACTGGGTCAAGGTATGGAGGTTGTTGGCTACTTAAGACATGTCAGTAATCATGAAAACTTTGTCTGAGAAAGTGATGATAAAACTGAAACTTAAACAATAAGAGGGCCAGTCATCTACAGATAGGGAGAGAGTTCCATAATGGAGGAAGATTGCTGGGTTCTAGAATCCAAAAGGATGTTAGCTTGGTTGTAGCATACACTGGTAAAAACTGGATTGGAGAAGTAAGCAAGTACTAAGTTATTTGGCTTTTTGTAGGTTAGAATATAGAGTATGTATTACATTCTAAGACAATGAAATAAAGTAGAATTTTAAGTGAAGGAATGACATATTCCAATTTTTTACAAATATCATCTACCGTGAATAAAATGGATTGTAGTAGGACAAGAATGAGGGAAAAAAGAGTTGCAGTAGTTCAGCTAAAAGACTGGCTTGGGGAAGCAGCTCATGCATCTGAGACTCCCCAAAGTCAGGACTTTTCTTTGCACACCTGAGGCCACCCACGGTGGCTCTGCAGCTGTCATCATGCCACAGAATGAATATATTGAATTACACCCTAAACACTACGGGTACCGCTTGGATTACCATGAGAAAAAGAAAGTCGAGAGGCTCATGAATGTTCAAAGAAGGCAAAAAAAAAATGATTGGCCTGAAGGCTAAACTCTACCACAAACAGCACCATGTGGAGAAAATACAAATGAAGACTATCAAGATGCATTAAAAGAGAAATACCAAACAAAAGAAGGATGAAAAGACTCCAAAAGGAGCAGTACCTGCTGGACAGAGAAGGACAGTCTCGTGCAAAAGTATTTTCTAACATGATTTAACAAAAACGAAAAGAAAAGATGGGAAAATGGGAAGTTCCTCTGCCCAAAGTTCGTGCCCAAGGAGAAACAGAAGTATTAAAAGTTATTCAAACTGGAAAGAGAAAAAAGAAAGCATAGAAAAGGATGGTTACTAAAGTCTGCTTTGCTGGAGATGGCTTTACAAGGAAATCACCTAAATATGAAAGATTCATTAGGCCAATGGACCCCAATGGGCTTACATTTTAAGAAGGCCCATGTAACACATCTTGAACTGAAAGCCACCTTTTGCCTGCCAATACTTGGTGTGAAAAAGAATCCTTCATTGCCACTGTATACAACTTTGGGTGTTATTACCAAAGGAACAATGATTGAGGTGAACATGAGGGAGTTGGGCCTTGCGACACAAGGAGGCAAGGTTATTTGGGGTAAATATGCCCAGGTAACCGACAATCCTGAAAATGATGGACGCATCAATGCAGTCTTACTAGTTTGACAGGTGTTTCATACAATAACTTCTTACACTTAGTGAAGACTATAGAACAATCAGGAAAACCATAACTTGAATACTGCTGAACAACTCTCATGACTACATTCATCAATAAAACTATTAAATTGTAAAAACATTAAAATGGCCCAGTTAAAGTGGTCTTTTATTAGAGGTCTGCTAAGAGCTTACATGTTAGTGGATTGAACCATTTGAAAAAGTAAATGTAAGTCTTTGTATTAAAGAGTGGGATGATATCTCTCATTCCTAAAAGGTCACCAGTATTTAGGGATCTAGGGCTAGGAACTCTGCTGAAGCTATTCTAACTCATCTTTTATCACTAGTCCTAAAAAAAGTAATGTTTAAGTTTATTCTCAATATTGTCTATTTATAATACTTTAAGAATGGCATTAGAAGTTTATTCAGATAATTCCAACTTGGTTGCACTGATGCCCTGAAAAGAAATTTTATTTGTAGTTAAATAATATAAGAAGGTTATATGTTAGGGGTGCAGCTCAAATTTTGTTATATGCATTAAATGGTCATGGCTTAAAAAAAAAAAAAGACTGGCTTGGACTGAGTTTAACAATGGGTAGTCTGTTACAGCTAATGTACAAAGTACAGGTTTCAGACAAACGAAAGGCAAGAGAATTTGCAAAGGTACAAAACATACACAGATGAAAAATTACAAATTCATGAATTAGAATCAGAGACCAGCTTATGAAATCAGAATTTAAAAACTTCAGTAGCTCCATACCTTTATATATCTACTTAAATCCCACTTTAACCCTAGAAGAAAATGTATTTTCATTTTGTACTTTTTTCTTTAACCTAGATAGCTACATTTTCTGTTTCATGTTAGCTATTTTCTATGTACATTAAGTCAGTGGGGTATATGTGCATTGCTTAGGATTGAATGTAGGGCCTTGTGCAAGCTAGGCAAGCACTCTACCACTAAGCAACATCCCCAGCCCACTTCCTATTTTAAAAAGACTACTCAACTAGTCCTCAACTAGCCTTCTCTCTCCCCTTTGACACACAGCTTCTGTTTTACAATATTATTATTTGAACCTAGAACACATGTCAATCTTGGAAGACTCTAGGTGATAACATAAATTACAGCAATTTAAAATTCATTTTCTTTCTTTTCCTTCCCTCCCTTCCTCTCTCCCTTCTTTCCTTCGTATTTAGGACAGGGTCTACAGGGTCTCACTGCATAGACTGGATTCGTCGTGATTCTCCTGTTTTCAGTCTCCAAGTGCTGGGATTACAGGGGCTCACCACCACACCCATTCTCAATAATTGCTGAGTGCGCCCCAGGGGAGGGGCTGGCCCAGTACGCCAGGGATTGAACCCTGGCCACTGTGCTCTGCCTAAGCAGGGACTTTAGTCTGCTGAGCTATCTGGCCAGTTTTAAGTTTTCTAGAAGTATGCTTTATAGAAGTTTATTTTTAACTTGTTACCTGAAACCCAGATTTTTCCTCAAATTGCAAGTGATCTTTAAATGTTCTAGATTGTCAGACAAATACCCAATCAACAGAACTGAGGTAAAATAATAGGTATTCTGGAGATATATATATATATATATATATTTGGTACAGGGTCTCACTCAATATGCAGCTCGGACTTGTAGTGATCCTCCTATCTCAGCCTCTTCAGCACTGGGATTACAGGCATGTGCCACCACACCTGGTTTTGGTGGCCAGCACAACACGAGGATGGCACAGCATGTGGTACTGGGGATCAAATCTGGGTCCTTGCGCTTGCCAGACAAGTGCTTAGACCATCAGGCTATCTTCCCTGCCTGATAAAGTCTTTAAGAAATGATACAAATATCCATTTTAAGTAACTGGGTGTGACTTAATATGTTCATCCACATAGCTTTGGAAAAACTCCAGATACAGTATCAAAGGTAGAGGAAATGAACTATTCTAGGCAACTTTATTCATTGTTAGGGTTAGCAAGATTGATGCTTGGGCACATGCATGTCAGGGAGCATGGCTGGTACTTATATTGGGAAATCTGAATTGTTCCTACAGTTCACAACTGCTTTACCTCCTTTACTCTTTAGTACAGACTCAGTGTTCTTCACCACAAGATTTTGCGCGAGGCAACAATGGGAATTCTGCCTATATACAAAGAGAATCAATACATTTGCAGAAACATCACATAACCATATAAATAGGAAGCTACTTTCTTTGGACTTAATATATCTGCTCAACTTTCCCACAAATAAACTATTGACACAGACTTCAGTTACATCATATACATACCTTCCCTTTGTTCCTTCAGTTTCTTCCGGAAAACTTCAGCCCGGATTTCTTCAAAAGAAAACTCTTCAACTCCTGCATAAATCTTCTCTTTACAATACATCACCTTCGCTTTCTCTTCCTCACACTCTTGTTGATGACTCTGAACCCTTTGCAGGGGATCCCCTTCCTCCCTTCCAGGCTTTCTGGTGCTTAGTATATGGTTTATACTAGGCTCAATTTTACATGGTGTCCTAAAGAACAAAATAATTATTATTCCCCTTAAGGTCTAAATGAGTTACTTCTTACCTATTTTGACCAAATGCATGAATAGTGTTATTAGTAAAACTTTATGTGATCCATCTCAAAAAGCAGCCAGGGAGATAGCTCAGCCTGGCAAGCCCAAGGTCCAGAGTTCGATCTCTAGTACAAAAGAAAAAAAAAAATCTATTTTAAAAAGCTAAAAAACTGAAAAAAGATAAAAATAATTAAAGGGATTATCAATAACTATGTTGTGGGGCTAGGGAAGTGGCTCAATGGCACAAAGACTTACTTGGCATGTGGTTCAATCTCTAACAGTGGGAAGGGAAAAACTATGTTCTATGGATTACCTTTGCCAGGAGGAAGGGAATTAGCACTGAGTTAGGCTTATCAAGTAGCTTATATTACTTGGTAAAAATAACAATAAAAGGACCTCTTACTCAATGTATGAAAAGAAGTTAACCTATGCAATGTCATCATTTCTCACTGCTTAATGCCCAAAAGAATTAGGAATATGGACGGCATCAGGAAACTAATTTGAAGTTCAAGGTTTCTGGCTAGGGGGTAAGAATGAAAGAAGCAATATAAGTTTCCAAAAAATGAAGCCTAACATGTCTCAATCAAGGGACAGTAACATTAGCATGGGTCAGAATCACTTATACCTTTCATTTGCTAATTTTTTTAAAAACAACTAAAGATAGCCTAGTCCTTCCCACCTCGACAGGTCTACTTTTCTTTTTGTGTCTTGGATTTTTTTACCTATTAAATGGAAATAATCGAATTCTAAGGTTGTTTTCTTCCCAGATCTACTTAATCAGAGTCCACGATAGTAGGATCTAAGCATGTACATGTTTGAAAAGCTACCCCAACTCATTCAATCTTCTATAAAAAAAAACTCATATTACAGATCATACATGATGGTTTAAAGTTTTCCTGTAAGGACAGGAGTAAGACAAGGATCCTTTTCTTTTTGAAATGTATTTAGTACAGGGTCTACGGGGTCTCACTACACAGATTGGACTCAGAGTGATCCTGTTTTCAGCCTCCCAAGCACTGGGATTACAGGTGCGTGCCACTGAGCCCAGTCTCAATCACCATCTTAGTGCATCCTGGGGGTGGGGCCAGCACGGCAGGCCCAGGATGTCCTTTCTTGTCACTTTTATTCAATTTGTTCAGAAGTTTTAGTCACGAGAATTAGGCAACAAAAAAAAAAAGAAAAAAGAGTCTCGATGGGAAAGGAAGAACTATTTGCAGATAACCTGACCTTATATACAGACAATCTTCAGAATCCACTAAAAATCTATTACATAATAAACTAGTTCATCAAACCCAGAGGAAACAAGATCAATCTTGAAAAATACATTTTATGCTGGGGCCGGGGAGATGGTTCAGTGGAACAAGTGCTTCCCTGGCAAGCGCAAGGGCCTGAGTTCAATCCCCAGTTCCACAAAATAAATAAATAAATAAATAAATAAATAAATAAATAAATAAATTTTAGGGCCAAGGATATAGCTTAGTGGCACAGCACCTGCCTGGCAAGTGTGAGGTCCTGAGTTCAATTCCTAGTACCAAAAAAGGAGGAAAAAAAAAAAAAGAAGAAAGAAAAAGAAAAATAAATTTTTAGGCATGATGGGGTATACCTGCAGTCCCAGCTACTCTGGAGGCTGAATCAGGACTGTTTAAGCCCAGGCGTTTGATAGACTGGGCAACACAGCAAATAAGTATTTACTCAGTTGTATTTTATGCACTTGCAATAAAAAAAAAAATCTGAAAATAAAATTAAGAAAATAATTCTATTTAGAGAATCTTCATAAATCTATTTATAATAGCTTCATAAATAAAATACTCCAGAATAAATTTAAAATATAGCATGTACAGATATCTTACCAAAGATATACTGATGACATACACATGAAAAGATGTTCAATGTCAAATTAAGACAATAATGATACCATAGGTATAGACATCTTTGGTGGTGATAATTTAAAATACTGGCAATACTGAATGCTGTCAACAAGGTAGAGCAATAAGAACTGTTATTTATTATTAAGAGAAATTCAAATAGTACAAACACTTTGCAAGAGAGTTTGGCACTTTAGATGGCTAAATTTAGTCTTATCATACAATCTGATCAAGTAAATTAAAAAACTAAGTTCACACAAAAACTTTCACATGTTAATGTTATAGTAACCTATTCATAACTGCTAAAGCTTGCAAGCAACCAAGATGACCTCCAGTAGATCAATGAATAAAACTGGCACACTGATACAATGAAACCATCATTCAGCCCTGAAAGACATGTGCTTCTGAGAGACAGACTACATGGAGGAAGTATTGTTCAGTGAAAGAAGCTTCTCTGAGAAGGCTACCATGTGATTCCAGGTATATTACTTTCTGGAAAAGGCAAATCTGAAAAGACAGCACAAGCATCTGATATTTCTAGTGATTTGGGAGAAGATAAAGGTGGAGCACAGCACCTTTTAGGCCAGTGAAACCATTTTGTGACACTATAATGAATGATATATGATATTATTCCTTTGTCAAAATTTATAGGCTGTGAAACAATGAATCTTAATGTAAATACGAGACTTTAGAGTCAATAATTATAACATACCACACTAATGCAAAATGTTAATAGAGAACCCTGTGGATAAGGTTGGGAGAAACATATATGGGAATTCTCTGAATTTGCTACTTATTTTTCTATTAAACCTAAAACTACACTAAAAAGTATATTGCATTTATTTTAAAAAGCTCAAGGGACTGGGGATGTAGCTCAGCACTTGCTTAGCATGTTGACTCTGAGTTAGGATTTCTAGTGTGAGAAAAAAAGAAAAATTAATTAATTAATTTTTTTTGGCGGAACCGGGGATTGAACTCCGGTCCCTGCGCTTGCCAGGGAAGTGCTTATTCCACTGAGCCATCTCCCTGGTCCCAACAAAAAGAAAAAGCTCAAGACTAGTGTTCTGATAACTACCAAACATTGTAGAAAGAAATTAAAGAAAATAAATAAATGAAATGACAGCCTATGTTATGGATCTGAAGACCTAAGATTGTTAAGAAGTTAATATTCATGAAACTGATTCATAGATTACTCAGAATCCCTATCAGAAATCCTAGCCAATCTTTTTGCAAAAAACAAACAAGCTAATCCTAAAATTCATACAGAACCACAAGGAGAGCAAAATAAAAGTCTTTAAAAAGAAAAACAAAGTTGAAGGATTCATATTTCCCAAGTTTAAATCACTAAAAAACCTAGAGTGTAGGGCCCGGGGAGATGGCTCCGTGAAATAAGCCCTGGCAAGTGCAAGGGCCCGAGTTCAATCCCAGGTTCCACAAAAAACAAAACAAAAAACCCACCTTTAGATTGTGTGGGGGAGAAAAGAAAAGACTGGGTAGGCTGGGGAGATAGCTCAGTAGAATAAGAGATAGCTCAGTAGAATAAGTGTTTGCCTGGCAAGTGCAAGATCCTAAACTCAATCCCTGGAACCAAAAAATAAATAATAAACAAACAGAAAAGATTGGGTGGCATTTACTGGCATGCAGATAGAAATATTCATCCATTACACAGTATTAAAAGTTTAGAAATAGCATCATATGTGGTCAACTGATTTTCAACAAGGCAGCCAGGACCATTCAAAAAACACTTGGTATTGGGACAAGTGGATATCCACATGCAAAGCTGTGAATCTAGACTTCTTTCTTTTACTATACATAAAAATCAGCTAATGCTCATCAACCAAAATGTTACAGCCTCATGAAACACTCTACATTTAAGATACATCCCTACTTTTCTTCCTCTTTTTTTTTTTTTTTTGTTGCTCTTTTTGAGATAAGATCTCACTATGCAATTCAGGCTAGCCTTGAGGTCACTTTGTAACCCAGGCTGGCTTTATTTATTTATTTATTTTTTTGTGGAACTGGGGATTGAACTTAGATCCTTGCGTTTGCCAGTCAAGCACTTATCCTACTGAGCCATCTCCCCGGCCCACCAGGCTGGCTTTAAACTTGCAACAATCCTCCTGCCTCAGCCTCCAAATTACTGGGATTACAGGTGTGTACCACCATGCAGAGTCTCCTAATTTTCTTTCTTTTTTTTTTTTTAAATTTTATTTATTTGTGTGTGTGTGTGTGTGTGTGTGTGTGTGGCCAGCTCAGCCCACCAGGGGGCGGGCCTGGCTGGCATGTGGTGCTGGGGGATTGAACCGCGGTCCCTGTGCTTTGCTAAGCTTGTTCTAAGTAGGTGCTTTAGACCACTGAGCCATCTCACCAGCCCCTAATTTTCTTATTAAATAAAGAACTATAAACCATTAAGATAAACATAACTTGAAGAAAAATATGTAGAAAGGTCAAATGAGATACCTATGAAAAAGAATTTAAGTATAAAAAAGGGCTTGGGAGATAGCTCAGTGGTCTAACTGCCTGTCTGGCAAGGGCAAGGATCTAGGTGGAATTCCAGATACCACTTGCCATGCTGATCTGGCCACCAAAACCTGGTGTGGCAGCACATGCCTCTAATCCCAGTGCTGGAGAGGCTGAGACAGAAGGATCACTATGAGTCAAAGCTGCGTAGTGAGACCCTATACCAAATACATTAAAAAAAACCAACCACCAAGAAAGTTCGACACTTTCTATACCATATTAACTTCGACAGTTTGTTTGTAGAAAGTGATTTGAAGTATTAGAAAATTTAAATGTCCATGAATGCATACTATCAATTTCTATAAATGCTCATGTGCATCTCTCAAAGATCTCTTCTTTCTCTTGTGGTCTTATCAGACAGAATTTTTGCTCAAAAATCCAGTTTTTGAGGGCCAGCCAAATATCTCAGCAGATTAAAGCATCTGTAAGCAGGTGCAGGGGCTGGGAGTTCAATCCCCCTGCCTACCGGCCCTGCCCCTGGGGTGCGCTGAGACAGCAGTTGAGACTAGGTGTGGTGGTGCGCGCCTGTAATCCCAGCTCTTGGGAAGCTGTAAAGAGGAGGATCACTATGAGTCTGATCTAGTAGTGAGACCCTGAACACTCTGTAGACTCTTCCCTAAAGTACAAAAAAATAAAAAATAAAATAAAAATCCAGTTTTTCCATTTCTATAGTACTTTGCATATAGTGGTAGTTATAAATTATGAGAAAACTTGCACTGAGACACAGAATTTATCATGGTATTAGAACTTGGTAAGTATTAGACTAAATTAATTTATACTATCATTTACCTACCATACTTTTTCTTACAAACAGAAATTCTAACAGAAAAAAGGAGACAAAAAAATCAAAAAGAAAAAGCAGGACAAGAGAAAATTATCACAATTTTTAATTAATACTGTCAGTCACAAAAGTAGAGTATCTTAACTACATCATGGTGCTTGTCATAGTTATAGCAATGCAAATATAAACCTAACTAATAAGCTTATTTCCTAACAAAAATATTCCTAAATGAGCGTCTCGGCCTAACATACTCAAAAGAATGTAAGCATAAAGGACACACAAAACTTTGGCTGCTTTCATTTCCACCAAGAAGATCTCTCTGAGAACTAAGGTGCTTGTGCAAGCCTATAGTAATTCCCACTTCAAAGTATCTGGGAACGAAACTCACATGACTGGCTGTTGTGCAGTCTCTTCCACATACGGAGTAAAACTGGGGAGCATAGGGGTTACAGCTGTCACAGAAGCTGTGCTGCCATGAGGCTGGAGAAGAAGAAAACCAAAATTACCAAAGCTTTACATTTGGCACAACATGTGCAAAACACTCCCAAATATTCTAGAGGAATTAAGATGTGCTACAAGTATTCCTCTACTTTGAACCCCAAGTCTTGGTTATGCTGGCAGGTAGCTCCACCTCTGAATGCTCACCTTGCGATCCAAGGCCCTCTTGTGCCAGGGGCCTGCTTGCAGCTCATTCTCCTTGGCTCTCGGGGGTGGGGGGGCCATCCATGGCTGGACTGTAGGCTTACACAGCTCTGTTCTAGAAGCCAAATCAGCATTTTCATCAAAGACAGTAACTCTACAATTGCTTTGCATCCTCTGAGGAACTGGATTTTGGAGTTTCCTACTTTGGTTTGGTGCTAGTAAAAGAAACATTAAAACTTTATGTAAAAAATTATCAACTTAGATGCCAGATAAGGTACACACATTAGTCCTCAAATTGAGAATACATCTACAATAAAATCAGAGATTGTCAAAAACATTAAAAAAAAAACCCAAACCAACAACATAATGAACCAAATTACTAACCACTGGGTCTAATCTGTCTTTGTTACTCTTTCCTTTTTTGTTTTTCCACTGCTTTCACTCTTATTTATGGGTATCCAAAAGAGAACTTCTCCACCTTCCTTTAGCTATCATCTTAACCTTGGTAAGTTTTATCAGGAATTAACCTCAGACTACTTTTTAGCTTTAAACTTTCTCTCAATGGGAATCAGCAGAGACCAAAAAATTAACCCATTTATTAGGCGTACTCTCTTACTTTAAGCTTTACCACAATTTGGGTAAATATCTTCTGAAATTATATGTTGTATGATATATATATACATATATATTTTTTTCTAGCCAATATTTCATTAATTTTTAAAATCACACACCACCATAGTCTCAGTCACTGGCTCAGCACGCCCCGAGGGCGGGGCCGCTATGGCAAGCCGGGCCACTGTGCTCCGCAGAAGCAGGTGCTTTAGTCAACTGAGCTATCTGGCTAGCCCTCCCAAAGTCACAAAACTGCTGATACTCATGGGTTTCATTGCACAATGTGATATTAACTTGCCTTTGACTTCCTTCTTTTTGCTGCCCACTACTCTGTTCACAGGTATACACCTATGCATTATTTTCTACATAATTATCTTCTACATAATTTAAGAGACTTATATGTTTTCCAGAATAACATGTAACAAACTTACACTTGAGGGCACTGCCTACACGGCTGATTGGAGCCCTTGCTGTTTTTTTTCCTTTACTCTTTAGTTCGGCTAGTGTGCTTCGTTGTGACACAGAAGATGCAAAAACTTCTTCCTCTTCTTCTGTCTCAAGTGCCAAGAGAGACTGCCGAGACACTCGGGCTTGGAATTGTCTAAAGTGAAAAGACAATTTACTTTGGCTGAGATTGTCACTACTCAAAAGACTCAAAATTTCTATTTTATTTTTATTTTGAGACAGGGTCTCACTATGCAGTTCAGGTTGGCCTTGAGCTCACTTTGCAGCCCAAGCTGGTCTCAAACTCAACAATCCTCATGCCTTAGCCTCCAGAGTACTGGGACTACAAGCATGTACCATCACTCTAGCTTATACTCAAAATTTCTAATTTTTCAAAATAAAATGCAATTAAGCACTATTGCTTAGATGTTGAAAAAAGAAAAAAAAATAGAATGAGGAAAGAAATACAGAAATAGTCTCAAAAAAGTATATTAGGAATAAAGAGAACTACCTTGAGATTAGAAAAGTGACTAAAAGCAATTTAGATTCCCCATTAAATATTTGACCAAAATTAAAAATACTTATACTAAAAAAAAAAAAAGAATCTCATACTCTGAAAAATCGTCACTAGGTAGATTTGAGGATCAGATTAGGGTCACTAAAATAAAATTTAGTTAAATCAGTTTGCCATTAACTTTTCAAAAATAAAACTTAAAATTACACCATAGTTGAAAATGAGCATCCACCTAGACCCAGCTGATAACACTGTGTCATGGCTGTTTTAGCATCTCTACACACACACACACACACACACACACACACACACACACACACATAAACACACACCATTTTTCTTTCCTGAGCTATATGAAATGGAGTTGAATACATGACATTTTACTTTTACTGGCAGAAATTTGAAGACTAAACTTCCTGTGCTGTTGCCACAGTTTTAAGTTTATCAGGAAGGTTAAAAAAAATTGTATATGCTGGCTAGAATAGAGTAACCTAAGCCTACCATCTCTCTCTAACATACACTGATCAGAATTCAAAATGTTAGATACATACAAAGAGAGCAACTCAGGGGACTTTGAGAAGTAAACAAAGGCAAGTGGACTGTGGAGAGGAGTCAAAACTTAAAAACCTCCACAAGGTTGTTTCCTGTTTTGTTTTTTTCTCTTCTGTTTTCTCTCATGGTATTCAACTGTTACAATAGTATGGAAAATCTAAAACTCCTAGAGAAAACCCTTTTTGGTCTTAAGAGCAGGGAAGGGGAATTTTTGAGAGGCAAAAAGTATTAGAGAAACACTGGTGAGAAATTAAGTTGAAGAAGGGGATTTCCTAAGGGTGTTTGTGAATTGGCACAAGCCTGGGGTCACTCCTGACCTTAGCACATACAGAAAAGCTTGGAGAGCTAAACTTTTGTAAAGTAGCCCAAGCCTCACTCTAACTCTGAGCAAGAGATACACTGGACAGGTCAAAGCAGCATAACAAAAGTTCTGAAAACTAAACTGACAGTGGTGTCCTCATGGACATTAGGTGGAACCTTAAGAAACTTGTGGTATTTTAAATTTGGTTGCCTAAGACAAAAACATCAACACTCTCCACAGAACACCAACCAGTAAGACTCAGAGTCTCAAAGCACAGTTTAGGGGCCGGGGAGATGGCTCAGTGGAATAAGCGCTTCCCTGGCAAGTGCAAGGGCCTGAGTTTAATCCCCAGTTCCGCAAAAAAAAAAACAAAAACACAGTTTAGAATAAATGTTCAGGACAAAATTCTTTCACACACACAGAACCAGGAAAAAGTGACCAATTATGTAGGAAAACTCATTAACAAAAGTCAACATCAACATGAATCAGAGCCAGGCACTGTGGTGCATGCCTGTAATTCCTAGCACTGGGGAGGCTGAGGCAGGAGGATTACAGTGAGTTTGAGGCCAACCTGGGATACACAGTAAGTTCAGGACCAGCCTGAACTACATAGCAAGACCCTGTCTCAGGAAAAAAAAAAATGTTGGTGTTTTCAAATGGATTTTAAAGCAGCTATTATTATTATTATTATTATTATTATTATTATTATTTGTGGTTCCAGGGATTGAACTCAGGGCCTTGCGTTTGCCAGGCAAGTGCTTATTTTACTGAGTTATCTCTTTGGTCCTATTATTTGAAATGAATCAGAAAAATAGAAAATTCTCAGTAACAACAAATGGAAACTATATAAAATAATGAAATGGAAATTTTAGACCTATATTTTGCAGGATCTCAAGTAACAAATTTAGTGGATGACAGCCATTGCAGTACATTGAGCTCCACAGAGATAGCGTTGGGGCAAGTGAGAGCCGGACAGGCACTGGGCGACTCTACCTCGCTGAGGAAAACAAGTAAACATGGGCAGAGGAGATCCTAAGAAGCCGAGAGGCAAGATGTCATCATATGCATTCTTTGTGCAGACTTGCCGAGAGGAGCACAAAAAGAAGCACCCAGATGCTTCCGTTAACTTCTCAGAGTTTTCTAAGGAGTGCTCAAAGAGGTGGAAGACCATGTCTGCTAAAGAGAAAGGAAAATTTGAAGATATGGCAAAGGCGGACAAGGCGCTTTATGAAGGCTAAATGAAAACTTACATCCCTCGAAAAACTTACATCCCTCCTGAAGGAGAAACAAAAAAGAAGTTCGAGGATCCCAATGCGCCCAAGAGGCCTCCTTCGGCTTTCTTCTTGTTCTGTTCTGAGTATCGCCCAAAAGTCAAAGGAGAACATCCCGGCCTCTCCATTGGTGATGTCGCAAAGAAACTTGGAGAAATGTGGAATACTACTGCAGCAGATGACAAGCAGCCATACGAGAAGAAGGCTGCTGAGCTGAAGGAGAAGTATGGAAAGGACATTGCTGCCTACCGGGCTAAAGGAAACCTGATGCAGCAAAACAGGGAGTTGTCAAGGCTGAAAAAAGCAATGAAAAGAAGAGGAAGATGAGGATAAGGAGGAGGAAGATGAAGAGGATGAGGAGGATGAAGAAGAGGATGATAGGTTGGTTCTAGTGCAGTTTTTTTTTTTTTTTTTCTCTCTTGTCTATAAAGCATTTAACCCTCCTGTACACAACTCACTCCTTTTGAAGGGGGCCGGGTAGATAGCTCAGTGGCATAAGTGCCTGCCTGGCAAGCACAAGTTCCTGAGTTTGATTCCCAGTACAAAAAAAAAAAAAGTTTCCTAGGGGAAAATGGGCATTTGGGGCCTGCCGGTTAACTCAGTTGTTTAAGTGCCTGCTCATGCAAATGCAGTCAGGCACAGGATACCATAGTTGGATCCCCACCTCCACTTGCCTTACTTAGATCCGCCCTTAAGGCAGCCTGAGCCAGCCAAAACAAAAACAAAAAAACTCCTTTTGAAGAAAAAAAAATGTAATGTAAGGCTGGTAAGTTTTTTTTTTTTTTTAAGATTTGTTTTTAAACTGTACAGTGTCTTTTCTTGGTATGGTTAACACATTACCGAATGTGTCTTTAGATATCCCTGTCCTAGTGGTATTTTCCATAGTCACTAACCTTGCCTGGTACGGTATGGGGGTTGTAAACCGGCATGGAAATTTAAAGCAGGTTCTCATTAGTGCGCAGCACAAATTAGTTATAGAGGGGCACGGTAGTTTTTCATCTTCAATTGTCTCTGATGCAGCTTATATAATATAATTGTTGTTCTGTTTACTGAATAGCACTCTGTAACTGCAAAAAAAGAAAGTTCTGGGGGCCGGAGAAATGGCTTGATGGAATAAGCACTTGCCTGGCAAGCACAAGGGCCTGAGTTCAAAACCCAGGTCCCACCAAAAAAAAAAAAAAAAAAAAAAAGAAAGTTCCAACTGTTTTGTTGACATTCTGAATGAGTCTAAGGAAATACAATTTTTTTATTAAAAAAACATTAATGGATGGACTCAGGGCATAAATGGGGATGAAAAAGGAAAGAGGATATGAATCTGAGACATATCAATAAAACTGGTCAATTTGAAGAATAAAAAAAAATTTAAAAATAGTTTCAGGGGCCTCTGGAACAAAATCAAAAGGTCTAAAATTTGTGTATCTGAAGTTCCAGAAGGCAGAAGAGATGTACGTATAGAAAAGTACTTTATAATATTGGCTAAACGCTAGTAAAAAATTTTTTGAATGTAGTAAGTAGCTACATTTATTGAAGATCATAGAACAGCAGCAGAACAGTGAGAAGGGTGAAAGGAAAAAGAGAAAGGAAAAGGGACTCAAATGGGGGGAAGGCCTCGATAACTCAGGCTTCCAGTGAATACAGGGTCAGACACCACTGACTTCTCAATGATGCCAGTAATCTGCATGACCTCCTAAACTTACAGCAGGATAATCATTAGGATGACACTAGTAACTTTTACACAAAGCATACATTTAACTAATTCAAAAGGCCCGCTGTACCTTAAACAAATTACAAAAGAAAATGTACCTAGATACATTATAATCAAACTGCTAAAAACAAAAGCAGAGAAAAAATCTTGGAGAACAGGAAAATCAATATATACATACTAAAACAATGATTCAAATGACTAGAAATTCTCTTTGGAAACCACAAAAGCCAGAAGACAATAGAATATTTTTAAAGCGATGAAAGAAAGAACTATTGATCCAGAATTCTACAAAGTAAGTTTAAAACCAGCCTGAACTACATAGCGAGACCCTGTCTTGACAAAAAAGAGCTTGTTTTTATTTGTAGTTCTTCTAGTGCTGTTGACATCATATTTTGTTTTGTTTTGTTTAATGGTGCTAGGGATTGAACTCTGAGCCTCTCATATGTCTAAGCATACACTCTACCACGAAGCCTCACTAAGGTGCGAAGGCTGCCATTCACCCTCCCTTAAAATCTCTTCCTCGGTTTGAACACACTTATCCCATCATTCTTGCCACTTTCTGAAGCAGTTCAAGATCTGCTTCATGCCTTTAATTGTGCTGTTATAGTTACCTTGATGTCCTGAATTAATTCAAAATGTTTACCTTTCACGGTCATTTTGGTTTTCAAGAGGAGCCAGAATCACATGTTGTCAGATCCAGTGAATAAGGTGGATGAGGACACATCGTTAACATTTCTATGAGTCTGTCTTTTCATTGGCTAGCACTTGGCAGCAGCACTCGGTGTATTTGAGACCACACCTTGTAAAAACAACC